AGTTTGCAGAAGCCGTTGGATGTCGAGACGTTTTTCCATCAGCTTCCTCCAAGTTTCTGTAGGTAATATTAATTGATTACCGCAATTGTCACCGATGATTATTTCCACGGTAGGCACAGGTCCTACGTTGATCCCAATCTCCAAATATTTATACGACGTTGCAGTCAGAGCATATCTACGTCCCAGGATACGAACAGTATGACGTGGTTGCGAAATACTATAAAAAAATATAACAAAAGTTAAATGTATGAAAAATAATTTAAACGTGCATAAAAAAAAATTTGCATTGATACTTACTTTTCAAATCTTTTCTTGCACGGTGGGATGTCATCATGTTGAACGGGCAAGTAGTAATTTGCGTGTTTAGCGTTCACCTCAGCACCGTACATTTTTTTTTTTTTTTTTTTACTGTATTCGGGAACTACCACCGAACGTCGTCTATACAGAACGATTGACGAAACCATAGTCTAAATCTTACTAATATATATAATGGACAAAGTCCCCCACCAACATTTTTTATCCCCTCTCTTATTCGCCTTCAGAATTGTTAACACATGTATTGATACATTTTCCGAAACTAGATAATAAATCCATGGCACAGCGTCGTAGCCAATCAATTAAGCAATCGTATGTCGATGAAACAATGTCAGCCATGATGCATTACAGCGCAAGAGAAAATGATGTGTAGTGTTTATTACTGATATTTTTTTACCAATATATTATTACCGGCATATTTATAATTTTTTAACTGATATTATCGACCCTTCGTCTTTGTCCCGTTTTAGTATATTTTAGAATATTCGAGACCTTTTGAGGAGAACATTCGGTTCCCCGAAAAAAAGAATTTTATCTAATGTACCTAAGAATTTATCTAATGTACTTATTAGAATTTTATCTAATGAATTTTATCTACCTACATAGATACTTTGATAGGAATTAAAAAGAGATCCTTTTAGCTTTTATCTTCAACAGCCCTCCGAAAAAAGAATTTTGTATAACTTTAATAATTGTCACCGAGGATTATTTCCACGGTAGACACAGGTCCTACGCTGATCCCAATCTCCAAATATTTGTACGACGTTGCAGTCAGAGCATATCTGCGTCTCAGGATACGAGCAGTATGGCACCGCATTTATACATGTTGTCGAGCGCCGTCTAATCTGGCTGCTGATAACGAATTCTCTGCAGTTGTAGCAGGTAAAAAGATATACATATTTTTTAGATAGGGCGTGACACAAGGATTTTTAATTTGAGTTTCTTTGGAAAACTTTGGGAGGGGGGGGACATAGGAAAAATAGAACATATAAAATCAGGAAGATTTTCAGCGCGCGTTTAGTCCAACCCTCAGACAATGACAAACATCGAACGCGAGCAAAAAGTTCTTATTGAAGACTACACCAACGACAGCGAGAAAAAATAAAAAAGTTTTTAAGTGTG